CTTCCGGCTGACGTATTGACGAATCAGAGTGCGTGTTTACCTTAAGCTATGCGATTCTATTTAGAATCGCATCATGAAATACGATCTCGCATTCTGATTGGTTAAGGAAGCTAGGTATTTGTATAGGTAATCACATGATTTCGAGTGCAATTTTGGAATAAATGAGCACGAGTAAATTTTTTCGCTCCGACGAAGGGCTAACTCTCGAAACGTCAGCTTTTGTAATCGTTACGGTGGCCAATTTACCATTTCAACTTTGTTGATATATCCAAATTATTTCGTTACTCCCACCGACGCAGCCCCAAACAGTTTCTTTCGAAACTGTCAGCCTTTATTCATTTAAATTTTTCCAAAGACTAACAAAATTGCATGAGCCCGTAGGGCACCAGAAAAATCATGTGATTATGTATTAATAATATACATGAAAAAATGCGAGAGGTAGCTTATCATAAATATACAGAAGAAAAGCGCGCGCATCACGTACAAAAATGATTTATTAAAACCCAAGAAGTGACATTGACCTTGACATTGACATCGACCAATCATTCTGACCCATCAGAATGTTTGCTTTGTTATTTTCTTTGCACTGTATTGACCCTCTTCTGCCCTGATCGCATGAATTAACTCTCTTCTGCACTGAATTACTTGAAAACTGCATTTATCTTAAACCAATCAGAACTGAGTAATTTTTTGATGTATATTATTAAGTGAGGAATTGCGAATTGAAAACGAAACTAAGTGATAATTATTTGCATCTACATAAGCATAACAACTATCGTAAAATTGTTACAAAATTTTGTTAGAGTCATTTTAAAATGTTTTCAAAACCATTGTCACCTTTTAAAGAGCCGAAAACAAAAAAAGCGTTTTTCAAAGCGAGCCTGAGGTTCTTCCCTGTTTTGAACTGAAATGTAATTACATTCGGCGGAACTAAACTGTAAGTAAATTCACGACTCATACTCAATATGACACAGAATGTAAATATTTTCCTATTGGTATGTTAGCACGCGGGCCGCTATGGCGTTAATTGAGTCTTTTGTTGCATGGTGTATTTAAGGTTTGGCATTTGTAATGTATTCATCTCAGCTCTCGAGCTTTCCTAGTTTTATGTTAAATTTTATCTGGCATGTAATTAAGCTGTCTTACCCCTAACCCCCAGAGGTCGGTGCGCCTGCATTTGGATGGGGAATACGTTCCCATTTTTCCCACTGGGTTTTTGGGTTTTCGTATCAGGCGGCGGCACACTAAACGCATTAGCCCGAGAGGTGATGACTAGTCGTTTAATACTCTGTGTAACTTCGTCGAACGGCATTAAATACTCGGGCTCCTAGTTCGAGCTGCACACCCACTCTTGTGTATGAGTCGTGAATTTACATAGGAACTGTAAATTCTTGGAGAGGCATGGAAAACCTCTTTCGCTCGCTACAACGCGAAAGCGAGAAAATCTTGCGAACACGACCCAGAAGAAAACAATCTCCGAGCCAACAGGTCACGCCAACCCGGGTTCAATATCCACCTACAGCCATAACCTTTTAGGAAAACAACGAAGGATGTCAAGCAAGTTGGCTGGGTTTTCATCAAGTACCAGTGAAGCTTTGCAAGAAGTCAACAGCCCTGCACTTCCATCAGCAGCTGGCAATAACACAACAGCAATGAATAACGGCAGTGAAGGTCTAACGGCGAGTGTTCTGGGTGGGGCTGTTCACCAGTGTATCGTCCAACAAGTCTCTAGTGAATATTTCCATCAACTTTCAGTCGAATGTTCATTCCAACGATTCAGCTAATGGCAGTTGCCTGTAGTGAATTTCTACAAATAAAAATATCAAAGTTTTTTGGACTTTTCATGAAACACTTCATTGTTTTTAAAGGGATCGATCAATACACGTATTTACACTTCAAGGTACTTGCCTTTTATTAATCGCTTTCAGTGCTTTCGCTTGCACACCTCATTTCTTTCAGTTTTTCCACCAAAGGGGTAAAAGGTGTAAATTGTTACCCTCTCGAGCAAATTATTTGGAAATGTGAGAAAAAGATTTCAAAAATAAACGACTTGTAAATTCAGTGAAATTCCACCATTATCCTTAGATAGTGTGAAGCTTATTTAAAAAGTTTGAAAACGAATGTAAAAACAAGGTTCAAATAGAGATATTGAAGGTTCAAACGTGTACGACTGGTTTTGCTTCGTATTCGCTACCGCGATGACAGATCTGACAGTTTACTTCGAAATGACTTTCTGGAGCGTGCGCTCAGGATAAAAACGAACAATACTATTGCGGTTTTCTTGTTTTCTTATTTTTATTCAATGATGCGATTCAAGGAAAATTCATTACCTGACTCGTGGATTCCGCGTTAAATTGCAATTGAAAACCGATGTCGGTTTACAATCGCAATTTACCGCGGAGTTCACGAGTCAGGTAATGAATTTTCCTATAAAATGCAGTTTCAGTGAGGGCCTCTTTATATGAGCCCGGTTGACCGGGCTGGCCCAGTTTCCGAGATCTCACCTTACCTCTAAATCCTTTGTAAAATTTTCGATATGTTCGTATGAGAGGGCGGCCTGGGCCGCCTGGCTCGGCTTTCGAGATCTCGGTTTTTCCAAGCGGGATCTCGGTAAGCGGGCTGAAAAATTTTGTCATATGAAAACTTCATCCCGGTTACAAGGATGAATTCTTCGCATATTCGTTTCAACCTTCGTGACGAATAATTTCTCTTCCGCAACAAGGCGGTCCGAATAGCATCGTTTTCCTTTGCCTGATGAATTTTCCACATCACTAGCAACCCGTTTAACTGCAGTGATACAGCCAAAAGGGTTGCCAAAGCCATGATAGACGCTAAAAAGCAATATCTCGGTTGCGTTTCGCCATCTTTGTTTTGTTTTTTGTAATTCGTCCCGGTAGGCGGGCCAGCCCGGTCAACTGGGCTCATATTAAGAGGCCCTAACTGATTGTTTTTATTTCTAGCTGCGTGGTCAAAATAAAAGAACTTCAGGAATTCTCGAATAGAATTCCCTAATCTGCTCGCCGAGAAGGAAAAGTTGACATGTTTTTACTTCAAGAAATTGTAGCGACAAACCAACTAGATTTTCATTCAGACATTTCCTGAAAATCTTATTTACATTAGAGCTGAATAAAAACCACCTAGAAAGGTAATGTGCACTCAAGATTTATGGCAAATCCGTTTGTTGTCCGCAACTTTAGCTTACATTTGATAGTTTAAGCGTTTAGGTCAGTTCCTGTAAATTTCAACGAGGACTCCACGAAAGCTTTAATTTAAGCTGAGGCAATGGTAACAAATTTGGCTGAAGGAAAATTTATTGTGGCCGCGAGTCAACAAAATAGTTGGACGATGTTTGAATCAGTGCACATGGGTGAATGTTGCTGTCTATGGATTTTGCCGCATCTTTCGTGATGCGTTCTTACGGTCTTACAATGTTATTAGCGAGCTTAACTCCGACGACGGCAAACATCTGGGACGGTAAGCGGAAGTGAAGTTACCGCCCGAATTACTTCCGTTTGCCGTCGTTGTGAGGTTTCCCGCCGTAGCGGCCTTGTCTGTGACGTAAAGAAAGCCATTTTGCCGTCGCGGCTAAAACGTGAGTAAGCCTTAGCAAAATAACGCCATTTTAACTTACTTTGGGCGAAAATTGTTGGCAATTTTAACAGTTTATTGTTATGAGAGGATGTGTGTGAAATGGCTGAGCAAAAATAAACGATTTGTTCAAGGAAATTTTAAATAATTCGTTTGCCTTTCTCATAAATAGTTCGTCACAAAAACTAGCTCGATGTCAATCAAGCAACCCAGTAAGTTTTACAATCTCACTATTTCTCTTTATTTCGATGGAAAATTCGTAGACTAGTTCGGACATAAATTGATGGCCATGATATTATTCCAGGAGTCTTTTCTGGAGTCTAACCGACCACCGTGAACTATGGTTCATCTGAGAAAATTTTCATAGTCAACAGTTTCAGTAATGTTTTTCAGCCATAAAAAACGTACTTGATTAAGCGTGAAAAGTTTGCTTCAGGAAATTGGTTTAACATTTATCATCATGATAAGATTATACCTGTATTATGCTGCTTTGCATACATGTCTATGCTGTGATTAAGACTTTTCCTGGGTTTAAAAAGGTCACTTACGAGTACCAACGAGGGTACGCTAATCTTCTCAACAAAAGAGAGGGGCATTCAATTCCATCGCAAAGAGCCCCTTGTTCACATGTATACGAATCAAGTAGCCCCATTACGTCTGCGAGAGTAGGTATGTCCCTTTTTCGGTAACGAATTTCTGCCAAGCACTCACTTCCGTCGAGTCCTTCTTAGTCCAAATGCTTGAATTCTGGTAGGGATAATCGAGATTAATTGAAATGCCATTCACCAGTAATGTCATTCACCAGTAAAAATTCATCTTCTGAATGTCACCATCATCGAAACTTTCGATCAACAATCCACGAACCTTTCTATAGGTAGCCATTGCTTTTCCTAAACTTCGAAGAGGAAAGCGAGTCAAGCCGCCGTCGCGCGCTTTATCTTAAGGCTATTTTTCGTGCCATTGCAACGGCGATCTCTCTCCAAGCCCCCTCGACCAAGTCTGCCGTCCCAGATGTCTGCCGTCGTCGGATCTTAAGCTCGTTATTAAAGAGACTTTGACGGTTATAATGGGAATCAATAACTCGATCACAAAGTGAGATTGAATTTATCATTCTCTTTGCGCCTCGTGGTTTACAAACTTTTCCCGTATTCCTCTTACATCCCACATGGTTTATCAACCGGTAAACGAATAAAAAGTGTGGTTTATTGCTTAATAATTTGAATATATCAACAAAGTTCAAATGGTAAATTGGCCACCGTTACGATTATAAAAGCTGACGTTTCGAGCGTTAGCCCTACGTCGGAGCGAATTATTGCTTAATAGACTTAGCCAAAATGGCTTTCGAACGCTCAGCTTTTGAACTTACGATTTACTCTCATGGAACTAAGTATCTAGTTAATTCGATTATCCAAATCTTTCCCGCTTTTGTTAAAAAAGATAAATTTCCTTATGGTGGGAAAGATGATGGGATCTTATGAAGATTGACAGTATATCAGTCGAAATGTTGTGACTCCAGAACCGTTATACAAACGATAAAACATTTATTATTCAATTATTTTCAGCTGTCGTGGCTTAATCGGAGGCGGCTTTAAACGCGAGCAGGGGTAAAAAGTTTCGATATTTCGCATATTCCTCTAGCAGATGCCTTGGGAAACCTTAGACATTCAACGTGCAAAGTCCAAAGCTAAGGAAATGTCCAATGTGCTTAACGGCTTGGCCTCAAGTTCTCTCGCTAACCTGTTCATAAGAGTAACACCCTCATTATAGTAGTGGTAGCATATACTCCCACTATAGAACTCACTGCCTGAAGACAATCGATTCTGCGGCGAATTGTTATCATCATTCAAAACTGACATCAAAGCTCAAAACTCCTCATTTTCTTAGATTCTCGGGATTCTTTCCTTTAACATTGTCACCTACTTTTTAAAATGTACTTATCTAGATTTTATAATTTATAATTTAGTTAATTTAATTTAATTCAATTTAATTTAATTTAATTTATTTAATTTATAATTTATAATTTAGTTTCTGGACAAATCACCTCAGTTGCTGGGGGAAGCATGTTTTAAATAAATTCTTTTTTAATACTTGCCTCCTAAATCTTTAAGTGATAAAGATTGGCACATTACTAAGGTTACAGTTTTAATCTGATTAAAGCTCGAATCCGAATTAGTCTCCAATGAATAAAAATAGCAGCATCTGGTACATATCATTTTCGACACTAAAGCCGATTTTTCGGCTTAAATGTTCCTTACTTAGGAGTCCTCATTTCCTTGGATTCTCGGGATTATTTCTTTTCATATTTTCACCTATTTTTTTAGAGTATACTTATCTAGATTTTATAATTTAGTTTCTGTGGAAATCAGCTTTGTTGCTGGGGCAAGCGTGTTTTAAATAAAATCTTCAGTAATACTTACTTCCTAAGTCTTTAAGCAATAAAGATTGGCACATTACTAAGGTCGCAATTTTATCTGATTAAAGCTCGATTCCGAATTAGTCTCGAATTAATAAAAATAGCAGCATCTGGTTCACATCACTATCAACACTAAAGCCGATTTAAAAACGGAGTCCTATACAATTGCAGAATGCGATTGCAAGCAAACCCTTGAAATCACGATTAATCGTTTATTTTTTTGGGAATTTTCCCAAATATTTTTTGTTCGAGCGAACTCAGTTAAAACGATGTAAAGTTAATAAAATAGAGGCTACGTCGGTTTAAACTTCATACTTTAAGTGTTTATTCATTGAGTTTTCAATAAGCAAAGAGATATTATGGAAGTTTTTGCGAAAAGTTGAGCAGCGGGATGTATGGAGTCCTTTCAAGCGTTCTAATTTTAGAAACACGAAGAGAAAACGTTTCTTTCCTTTTAACGCTACAACAGCAGAAATGTGTTCATATTTCAGTATTGTCGTCATATTCAAATTTTTAACTGGAAACTTTACTCATTGATGGTTTGCAATAACAATACAAGTAAACTATAACTGCACATGGCTATTTACGAATTAAAATACGCAAAATGTTTTAAATAAATTGTCTTCCTAAATTTTTGTGATGAAGATATGTAGCTCGAACGGGACCACGCCAGCGCCTGTACTTTGAAGTGCAATATTTGTATTTCCCTTGTTAAAAAAGGAAATTTTTACAAACTTCAGAGTACCTTGCCTAGTGATATGGTATGTACTGGATTATTTATCGACTGATGTCAGTGGCGTTTGAAGTCAATTGTTTTACATGCTTAAGCTTCCAGGATATCAAAGAATACTGAAGTAGAATCAGCTAATGGCTAGCATTGATACTTTGGCTAATTTCTCGCCCGTGCAGTTTTGATGTCACCAAATTAAGCCTATATCGCTTTCCTTGTTTATGTATCCCCGCTCGCCCAGACATGCTAAATTTCCCACGCGTTGGGATGTTGCTTTGACACTGTTGCCCTATGAAATTGTCTGATATGAAACTTTCTTTTTGTTTTTTAGTCTTATTTTTAACTCGTTTAGTTACTCTTTAATTTCCACACGGCATCTAAACTGAATGATGTCTATCCAGCAACCTGTTATCTGCTAACGTAAACAGCGCCAGGTTACATTTTTAACTGTATCGTATGAATGAGGTTCTTCCAAAGATTTTTGTTGTAGACACTCGACTTCCGTTTCCCTCTCAAATCAAATCCTCGATCCTTCGCGAGGAGAGAAATGAACCGAGCCTCGCTTCCAACCTTGTTCCCCCTGGTTTCTCATCTTCCCGCCCCCTTGGAACGAGGTTCCCTCGTTTCTGGAAGCGCTTCGGGATGGATATTACTCGAAACGTTGTTTTCAACGCTGCGATCTGATAATCGTTACCTTTGGAAGACTTAGAAACGTCTTTTTTCGTCTTCGGCTACTCGCTAACTACTTAGCTAACCTAACCTTCAAATTGCGAACAAGATGAAATGTGTTTTTTTGTGAAATTTTCTATTATTAAAAGCTGCTCTATGCCGGTAGGGATATGACGGCGAAAATGAAATTAGAAGTTTAAACTTTCACTATGAGGATAGAGAAAATTGTGTAAACCAAATCTAGGTATGCCCTTTTGCAAACGTTTGATGTGTAAAAGACAGTATAGGAACTTACAGCGGAGCTCAAGCTGTACCTCTCCTCCCCCCCCCCCATTCCAACTTAACAATGGATAATCAAAATGCTTCTTTGATTTAAAATTTACCACCAACAAATCATCTATATATATAGGTATATACACAGAGTGCATAAAAATCCTTTATTTACAACAGTTAAAACAAAACAAAACAAAGCAAAACAAACCAATCACAGCCAAACATAAAGCTTCAAAAGGCAAAGTGTAACCATTCGATCTCTCCCCATTCATGAGCATAATTCATTTTACATGAAGTCTAAAATCTAAATCACGTCAAAGCCTTCAGAGTTGAATAGATCTGAAATCAATTTCCTGAGACGTATAAAATTTAAATGTGGAGAAACGAAAATTAAATTAAAATCAAATCTCCGGATTTCGGCAAAAATTGGATATGATTGAGACGGATAAAATTAGGCGGAGCTTTTTGTCAACGTCTGAGACAAAATAATCCAAATTAAATCAATTTTCTCTCTCTCTTAAGTCCAATCTTCGATCCCTTTCGAGAACAGACATGACCTCGGCCTCATTTTTAGAAAGCGCTTTGTGAAAAAAATTTACTTGACTCGTTGTTTTCAAGTTTGCGAAACCGCGTTCCGTTAAGATGGGTTGAGCAATATCCTTTTCTTGGATAATTGTACTCATATCTTTACTTGCAAAAAAATTCCCAAAGCTATTCGGGCCAAAATAACGATTACATTAATTAAGCTACATTTTCTCTGTTCTCTTAGTAACAAAGAAATCTAAAGGACCGAGTTTCTATTTGCACATATGTAGACGTATAGATTTAAAGACAGGATAATTGTAGACACGTAGAGATTTTCGTGTATCAATTTCCGCTAAATTAAAACTCGAGATTGCGACAACAATTGGATATCCTTGTCTGGGGACGGATAGACCTTTACGACTGACCATCTTTTTAACGAGGACTTATGGGATTGATATAAAAGGAGTAATGTTGTAATCAAAAACATCTCTTTCACCATCAGTGCGATCAAAGAGGCTTCAACCACAGGCTTTCCTCTGGCATTCTGTGTCCTTCTGCCGTTATTGCTGCAGGTCGTCTTCAAATTAAAGTAGGTTTTTTTTTTATTTTTCTTCTCGAGTAACTATAATCACCAAGTCAGCAAGAGTTTTTTGTTATTATCATTCAGGAGTACTGGCTTCAGCGCTTCTACAACTTTTTTCCTCTTACTAACCGTCTGACTCAGCATCAATCATCAAATCAAGCTAAACTGGTTTTATCTCATCCAAGCATTTTTTCTTACTACGTCGAATTTTAATGAAAATTCCTTAGCCCACTGTTACATTCCAATCAACGTAGCTAAATTTTTCATATCGCTGCTGCTCCATTCCATATCATAACCCCCAACAACGATTTCTGTCATGTTGGCAGGATTTTTGTCACCCAGTCTACTCTGGTCTTTGCCTCAGCCCCAGGATCGTTATGGTGACTATTTTTCTCCACAGTTGCAACAATTCTGTTTTAATCATTATTTCTGGATCTGTCGTTCACTGTACCTCATCTCAACGAGTGAAAAATTTAAAGCAGTCATCCTCCATTTTTGTATGTAAGGCCCCGTCGAAAAAATCTTTGGAATGTATTAAAAAAGCCTTTTTTTAAGATGTTTTTTCCCACCCTGTTAAAAGTAATTCTGCTCCTTGATGATTTTGATACCTTTTATCCAGTGGAAAATTCCATTTGCAGGCTCCCGGATACACCATAGCACACATTTCTTGACATTTCATGATGGTGGGTGATTCTTGGTTAGGAAAAGCAACAAAGTGGGTATTACTATTGACTATTGCCGGGACTTTATGGAATCTTCCTTTTGTCAGAAGCGAAACGTGCAATTCCAAGAAGAGTATGGCCTATTCTTTTAAACTTTCTTTTTTGGCTTAAAATTTGACCTCCTCAGTTGGGGTAGAGATTTATTAAATTTGTTTTACCCACTAATTTTATATCTTGTACAGTAAGACCAGTTGTCTACATCACTACAAGTCCAGAAAATTACAATCTAACCGTTGGTGCCTCCATTATGCTAATATGTGAAGCGGAGCCAAGAACAATAGACACAGGATATCTGGATAGATGGGTGAAGTATATTCAGTGGTACGACCCACAGGATAGAGAAGTCGGAGCAAAGTGTCAGCAACCTTCAAGTGTATATGAATATAAACGTCGATTAAGCTGTCCATTGGTGCTTAAGAATCTGACAGTTGACGAATTTGGCATCTACACTTGCCAAGCGGGCAATCCTTATAAGAATCACTGCACAAGGCATTTAATTACGTTAGGTAAGTATTTTCATCATTCCTACGCATTACGGTAAACATGCTACGTTTCTTGTTTGGGAAAGGTGAATACTTTTTTTCCTTTTTTTTTTTTTAACTAAGGTAATGAACAGATAAAGCGCTTTGTTGATGAAATAATAATATACATAGACAATCTAGTTTTGAACATTATTGACATCATTTCTATGATCAGTAAGGTTATAGGCGATGGAAAATTCAGTGATCGATTTGTTAAATAGCGCACGCGCTGTCAAAATTTCGTCTGTCTTGACTTTCTGTGATGCTTTTTTTCATATCAATTATTAACAAGTTACAACATGTTTTCTGGTGAAATTCGGTAAAGTATTCAAAGACTACAAATTGCACTCGCCCTACAAGATCGTGCGATTTTGTTGTCTTTGAAAAAATTAGTCGTGCTCACGAACACCAAATTGCTCTCGAAAATCATAATATTACCAATATGTATTTGCCACAAAAGTAAAGATTAAAATGAATGTAAGGAGCATCACTTGACCTAAAACACTTTATGATTCATATTGTATTGAAGAGGAACTGATTCCAAGCCAAACATTGCCATTCCGTGGTACGTAAGTCATCTAAAGCCAGAGAATGTAAAGAAATTTATTTTTCTCTCTCTAACCCTAGTAAACCTTAAAACCTCGATGAATAAAGTGTATATAGTGAACTCCCCATTAACGGACACTCTCGTAAGCCGACAAGTCCACATACTGACACTTTTCAATTCCTCATTCTGCCCTCCAGTCATACTAAACATTCCTCTGGGCAAACACTTTCTCACAGACGGACGCGGACACTTGAAATTGAGAATTTTATTTTTCTTATCTTTCCGCTCTCTCGTAAGCGGACACCCCATGAATAAAAATTAACTCGTGGCAATAAAATTTATCGCGTCTTTTTAAATAAAAAAAAAACATGCACTTTAACAGAGTACCAGCACAGAGGGGATCGGTTTTGCTGATTCCTTATTTTTCCGCAGGGAAGCAAGCTGTCGGAGGCGGACAGTTCTAAGAACGAGAACTTTTTCCAATTCCCGAGGGCCTCTGCTTACGAGAGAGTTGACTGTGTTTATATCAGTTCACACTTTCCTTTCAGGCTCTGCACCAGAATTCGTGGAGGCTCCAATGAACCAAAGTGTCACGATCAATTCCACTGCAACTTTTCACTGCGCTGCCAAGGGTCTCCCACTGCCAACAATCCACTGGATAAAGGACAATAAGTCCCATCACATACAGTCCAACCATACACATGTCGCACGTGTTGTTCAAGACGACATAAACAATAGCAGCCTTGAAATAACAAAAGCAAAGAAGAATGGAAGATATCAGTGCATTGCAAAGAACGTCGTTGGTGTAAAAGAATCAGGCGTCGCCTTCCTGATTCCTAAGAATTTAGGTCAGATTTACATGATAAGCTATTATGGCGACTCGGTTTAGTTTATACTTGGGACCTAACTTTATCCATTCGGATGATCGGCAAAAAATTTTTTTAATGGTCAAGGGCATGATTTTTCCAATAGAGCGAATTCATTTGGCTCATTATTATGTGCTAATTGCTAAGAAGTAGTCCCTTCGAAACAAGAACTAGGATTACTACTTAGGTTGTGTCCCTTGAGTCAACGCGAATGGAGAGTTTTACATTTGCTCTGCTTACCTTGCTTTTACAAATCCCATCTGAACATAGTATTATCTTCCTCAAACTCTTGCAATAACTAGTATACTTTTWAAAAAAAAAATTACAGAAAAGCTGGAAGACCCAAAAAACAAAAGTCATTCAACTGGCTCCACCGTAATTTTCAGCTGCAATGCCACTGCTCAATCCAAGCCAAATATGAAATGGATCAAGAACAATCCAAGGTTAAAGCTCACTGTAACCCCAGATGCCACAGAATGCCAGAGTATACAAAGCATAAAGTTCACAAACGAGAAGATGGAGGAAGTTGAATGCCGCACAGAAGACCGTTTGACAACTGGAAAGAGGAAGTCAAAATTGGCCTCTTTACACACAGAGGAAGGCAAGTTCTTGAAATCAAAGAAACAGTTTGAATCTACTTTTCGAAAATATTTATCGACCTCACCAAATTTAAAATGCAGGCCGTATAGCAATAAAACGTATAATGAAATCCTATTCAAAGCACTGTGAGCCAATATTTTCAAACTTCTTTCGCTAAAAGTCATGCAGTAGGATTGAGTCACCTATAAGACTACCGATCTAAGACTTAATTATATTTTTGTGATCACATTGCCTTTATATTCTTCATGCATGTACGACGTAATTGACGATCATAATAATCAGCCATCTTAAACTGTACCAATGAGTAGTAATTACTCTAAACATCTTCGAATGTGATTGATTGATAAACTGCCCAATTTTTTACAATTCTACAGTGTTGTAAGCGGAAAGTTGGTCGTAATCGGGCACTTGTAATCTAACGGTTATATCAGCCAATCACATTGAGCATATTCAAATGAATCCAAAAATTACAGAATTGATTACAGTATCCAAAGCAATGGCATACTACCCAAAGTTGAGGATTTCAAAAAGATAAAGGACGCTGTCTCTAGTGTGTGTTTGTCAAATATTGTAATGATTAAGTGATTAACATTTGGAATCAGAAGCCCTTTTTTATGAATACATTTTGCTTTTCTTAGATATTGTATCGCTTGTAATTAATTGGTAACAGGACTTCATGTCATCCAATGCAGTAAATAATCATAATCGTGATTGACAGATCGGACGGGCATATCGCGTTCGTCCAATTTGGTTAATCAGCTCGTATGATTACATGTTTAATTGGACAACACACGATCAATTTTTAATCACCGTGATGAAAGATGTTGGCCATCAAAGGTCTTAAGTTGTAGTTTGATTTTCGTCTTATCTCACAGAAATTACAGAAACAAGACCGCAAGAAAGCTCAACTACTCAGATTGCAATAGTAATCGCTGCATCTTGTGTGGTGGCAACCTTGGTTATCAATGGTGTTTTGGGGCTTTTGTGGTACAAGCGATATAAAGGTGGCAATAAGGTAAATATACCTGGTTTTGGTGTTTGTTTGTTCGATTTTCTGTTCACTTTACCGTACTTTTTCTTCTTCATCTAAGAAACAGAAATGTAACAAAAATGATATACAAACATACACATCAAAAACTTAGCGTCCAGGTTCGCGCTGCATTTTCTTCACTTGAACTTTTTAAGGATGCATCCACACTACTGTGCTACGTTTTCTTATGATGAAGTATTCATTTTGATTCAATTTTTCTTGTCGTCCACACTAAAAAAGCTGGAAACGCGAATGAAAACCGGTTTCAACCGGTAGTGCTAAACGCATCATTTTTAAAACGCTCCAATTTTTGTGAGGACACGTGGAAGCGAAGGGTTTTGGAATCAAACTATATGGATTTTGAAATAAGAAAGCAATGGCACGGACAACTGACAGCCATTACCAGAAATCGGGGACATTTCGAGCCCGATACGAAATGTCAGCGGTATATCGTCTCACAGACAATTCAATATGCCCTGGTGGAAGTGAAGGGAAGACATAATTTTCTATTTTCGTAAAACCCCACGAGAGAAAGGCCCGGTACCTTTCTATCCCAGAAAGCAAAAAGAGACGTCAAAACAAGGAAAATGGCGGCCAAATTGTGCAGTTACTGGGACTTATCTTTCGTGTCCTTCCATCCTAAAATTAAGGTATTTAAAAATGGCGTATCTGGCTTTTGAGCTCTGTGAAAATACGAAGAGTTTCCCGGTTCGAAAAAAATTTGTGGGCCAACATATTCGACCGTTTACGAGCAATTTAGTTGAGCAAACTTCTGCAGAATGCATATCGATCTACGCAGTTGCGAATCTTCACAAGGTTGTTCCCACGAAAAAAGAATTGTAACACCTAGTCGAAGCAGATATTAAGAGTTTTTATGGGAAAATGGAGTCAGAATTATGAGTTCACTCGTATACCTTGGGAAAAGGTAGGCTTGAATTTGAGTTTTTTTTTTTCGTAGCGATGGACGCATTAACCGATGCAGGCTGCATTTCCAAGTACACAGCGAGAACATATCCCATTCTTAGACAGCTATTTAAAAAAAAAAAACAATCTTTTCCCATACATTTTCTTATACTGTTTCGGCGCCATTTTGCTTGTAACATGAGAACCGCCTCCGCCATGTTGTCCCAGAATTCCTGCAATGCTAAAAATAATGCTATTATAGACAAAATAATTTGCTTCGTTTAGTTTGCGACGAAACTGACACCTTTGAAGAAACCCGAGTGTGCCGGGCTGGAGCCCAAATACCTCAAGTATGTTTGAATAAGTTCTGAGGTCTATGCAGTTCTTTGACTGGAGTTGCAAGCACTGCTTTTACTGCATATATTCCCCTTTAATAAGTATACCGATAAAATATCAGAAAATCATTTTTTTCAATCACTTGTTGGTTCAATATCATTTTGAAAACTACTGGAACGCGCTTAGCCATATAAAGTATGCGCAGCTGCATGCGAGCGGTTTATNACGTCAGCTGGAGGGACAGCGAAACATCGAGAGGGTTCTTATGCGCAATGGCAAATACCCAACAGTCTTAATTGCGCAGGATGCAAGAGAGTACCCGTCGCTCGAAGCCAATAACATGGACAGGGTTGAGGAAAAGCTCCTGCTATGAACAATGGAGAATAATTTGTTTGACATGGAACCTTGATGGAACGAGCCATAATGACCACAGCTAATTAAGGAATTGTTGTCCCCTGGCGCTATAAACTTTAAATGATAACCCACTGAAGTGAAGGTGAATAGTGATAGATACTTACTGAGGTGAGAGGTAAAGGTGTAGTAATTATCCACCGCTTTCGCCGATTCTAAGGTAAATAAATGTTTTAGAATATACCACGCAAATACCAAACGGTAGTTTATTTCTATCCATCTACTGAAAAATGGCTGGGAAATAAACTCTCGATGCGTCGATTAGGTCTCTTCCGCTGCTCGGAGGTGTTAAGCTCTTGCTAATCACTGCCGAACCAATCAATCAGCACTCGCGGAAAGCACTATTCACCGTTGAGGTATATACCTATGCGCAATAGTTCTCATGATTTGCTATCGCACGAATTTCTTAAATTACTGAATTTATGCCAAAGACTATGATAATAGCAGACAAGCTTGAAGTCGAAATAAGAAGAGGCGAGCCAGATAAACTGGGTTGGATTGATGAAGTCAAAGATTGCAGGAAAATTTGACATTAATGTAATCTGAAACAGCAGACATCCACAACTGTTTGGAAGAGGATCAAGAAAGATATGATACACTACTCCCAAACAAGTCAAACCCACATAATGACTCTGTTACGAACTTCTTGTTTTAACAAGTGAAGGAAGCCTCGACTTCGTGCGCTTGACCCAACTCTCTGGCTCATCTCTCAAAAGGTCGAACATATGTGTAACTAGGAAATGAAGTAAAATTAGATATAATCAAATCATCCTAAAACAGTTTATTAACTGACTTCAATAAGCACTCACTCGTTTAAGCCGGAATCATCTTTAGCCAATAGCCGGAGCGACTATTTCTAATCCTACATAATATTGTGCGGTTTCTTACAATTATTTACATAGCGAGCTGCCAGATTCTTCGCCTTCGTCAAGCTTTGAAATAAAGTGTATGCGCATGTAAATGTGTATGTATGTAGGCCCTGGGAAGATTCTTGTCAGTTCTTATTGGTTGTCCTACGTTATAAAATTATTTCCCTTCAATTTAAAAAGTGTCGATCTATTATTACCATAAGTTCTCGACAATTTTTCCAGAGTCCCGATCGAAGTATGAAAGTTAGATAAGGTGGTTAGAAGAATATCACGACAAGTCTAAAATTGTAAAACTTTAACTAATGTAACTTAAGTCGATTCAAGCTTCAATTAAATTTGCTAGCTCACAGTTCTGCTTGATCTTAAATGAATAAAGTGGGTAAATTTCTAAAGAAACTATGGTGTTGCGTCGTGGAGGGTATAACAAGTCAAGATAACTTGGTTCCATCATCTGAGCTGATAAAATGGCCACGTCATCGTAAAGAGTTTCTAAAGCTCACATTTCAAACGTTAGCCCTTCGTCAAAGGCTTAGTTTTGCCTCATGTGATTGTCTTGATTTCCTCATTTTATACTCGTTTGCCAGTATAAGGTAAAAAAAAAGGTTCAGAAAGTGGGTTCACGGTAAAGAAATTAGAATGGATAAAGCTTGCCTCGTTTTACAAAAACCTTCGCACTCTTTTTGACAGGGATAATTCTCTTCGGTTTTCGGCATAAATAAAGGCGCCCCGAGTGCTACGATTCTCTATACTTGCACCTCTCTTTCGCACTTCTCTTTCTATACTTGCTATACTTACTTTCTATACTTCTCTTTCTATACTTGCACTTCTCTTTCGCAATAGTCACCACTCGAGTAGTGCTCTATGCAGCCGCGTTTTGCCGATTTCTTCAAGCATTTTGGGGGTAAGGGGAAGATAAATGAAAGTAAGACAAAATCATTTAAAAAGTGACGGAGCGCGCCAAGACTTTTGCCGCTCGTGTGTCACCGGTATGAGCTAATATATAGTTTTCTGTTAAACATAGCTCTTAGGCCCTTTTCAAACGGTCAGGATAGTCGATAGTAGTCTCAACTTTCATCACTATCACTGACTATCATATTTGCGTTCAATCGGTTCATGATAGTTGATGATAGTTGACAAAATCACGAAATAAGATCGCGTAATTCCTCCATTCGCTCGGGCGAAGGGCTAACGCTCGAAAGTCAGCTTAGAAACTCTTCACAGTGGCCAAATTGCATTATCAACTCAGTTAATGAAACTAAAAAACGACTGGCGAGTGCTGAGGACAGCGATTTCGGTGGCATTTAAAATTTAAGTCAAGTAGTTGCGAGTTGACTTGAAGCCTACCAAGAGATGACGAGAACAAACCAGGAAACATTCTGCGAAATTTTGAAGAGCATCTTAGTCACTTCATCTTTTGCCATTTCGTTTCGATCCAGTGTTCGACACAACTGTTGACAGATAAACTATCATTCCCTATCATCCACTCGTTCAAAATGCAAAAACTAACATCAACTGTTATTTCGCATTTGAACATGTCTAAACCAAATGATGTTTGATGATATAGTTTGGATATATCAACAAAGTTGAAATGGTAAATTGGCCACCGTAATAACTACAAAAGCTTACGTTTCGAGCGTTAGCCCTTCGTCGGAGCGAATAGAGGAATTGTGGGTTGTGTGTGCTTTTAAAGGCAGAAAATGGACCTACCTTATTGGTGGAAACATGGCAAGGAGAAAAACACGAATAAATAATGATAACTGAATTGAGTGGAGTGCAATTTGGGCTGAGATCATACGCATGATTTAAAAATCGAACGAGCGCACAGTGCGAGTTCGATTTGAAATCACAAGTATGATTTCAGACCAACATTGCACGACACGAGGTTCAATTACCACTTTATTACATCCATTTTGAAATCGCCCAAATACAGGGCTTAGTCAAATCAAATATTTTATTGATGCAGTACTGAGCTGGTGTTCAAATAAAAAGCGGAACCGGAAATGCTTCTACAGCTTATTTTGTATGCACAACAGAAAGACTTTGACGTCATGTGTCAAAAATTCAGTCAAGCGTAAAATGTGCGATTTCGAGCAAAAAATGGTGCGATTTGTGAATAAATCGCATTGATTAGAGCCAATCAGATTACAGGGACGACCAGTGATTTAAAAATGGATGTAATAAATTAGTGGAATGAAAAGCGTTCTTTGTTCCCTGTGGGATTTAGACTGCCGGTTTGAAAGATGAGCTTTTGTTCAAGAGTTTTACGGCTTTCCATGCTACCTAAGTGTAAGGAAAGACCGCAGATTGCCACATGTTGCCTAGAATGGTTAGGTCAATTAAAGTGTCTAGCGACCAATAACGTAGCTCCATTTTCTGCCTTTAAAGGCACACACAACCCACAATTCCTTCATTCGCTCCGACGAAGGGCTAACGCTCGAAACGTCAGCTTTTGTAACCGTTACGGTGGCCAATTTACCATTTCAACTTTTTTAATATATCCAAATTATTTCGTTACCCCCCCCGACGCAGCCCCTAGCAGTTTCTTCAGAAGCTATCAGACTTTATTCATTGATATTTGATGATAGTCGGCGATGATGCGTGTTCAAACGCGCGTGATAGAGTAAACTATCATGAACTATGATGACCGTTTTGGGGCTTTGTTTCTTTTCTACAGTCGAGAGTTTCTGCTATCAACCATCGTTTACAGAACTAACACTAGTTTTCGGAGTATCAAAGAAGGCTTAGAAGGAGTCTTTAAGTTTCATAAAGTCTCAAATCATAAGTTAATCACTTCAATTACGCTTCATTTGACCCCATTCCAACAGCGCTTTAAAAACATAGTCAACATGGAACCAGCCGTTACCAAAAGAGCTTATTACAAAGTTCAAAAGGTATAAATCACCTGAATACAAAATCTAAAATCACGTGTAAGACTTATAAAGCTTTCTCCTCAGTTTTGTGATTTGAATTTCAGTTTACTAAACTGATACCTGTCAATATATCAATTAGCTAGTTCTAGTTTGTTGATAGATATGATTTATCTCTCTACGGTATCAACGATATGCCTTATATCATTTAGATACTCCGTGAAAATTGTCAGGTATGCTTTTAAACTCTGGCAGAGCTTTCCTGTTAGAAATTCCAACTGACTACGGTTTTCAAAAGGTAGAAATGGACTATTACGATAATCATATCGCAATGCAGTTTATACGGATGCAAATAGATTAGTCTAGACAGATAGTATACTGCAAGCATGCTCTTACCAATAAATAACTCAGTGGCACAGGTATTATATTCCCTCGCTCAAAGGAAAGTATCCCAAAACGCTTAGGGAACCGGTAAGGAGTCTCCCAATAGTATGGCGTAAATAATTCGTGTCAGAACCCTCGTCAAAATCGCGGCGACTCGCTATCGTAGAGGCCTGAGAGGTCTGCTTGCGCGAATAAATGCTCGTGCCGCAGCGCTAGCCCTAATAAGAGGGGATGGGAGGGGGGAAAGGTTCCAGGTTAACACAGATAATTGCTTAGGTTTCTATGAAAAAATCCAATCGAGGCTGAGCTAATTTACTTGCTCGATGCCCTTTTTTGTTCTACTCAATTTAGCTTTGAAATTAATGCAGGATGAACGGTTTGTTATTTTCTGTGATTCGCACTGACTAAGGTGAAGAAAACACCCGGAACTATTTGGAAAAAAGAAACGACTAAATCTAAATTTTGGGCCTTAGCAAGCACAGTAACAAACAATTTCTGAAGCGTGACGATGAAGCCTTACACATGGACCCATTTGAGATCTTGCGGTTTTCTTTCTTTTATATGTATTAGTCCAATAAAATGAGGTGCACGTGTTTGCTTTATTTTCAAAGCGTCATCAGACGTCTCCGTCACTGTCTTCTTTGATATTAATATATGTCCTCTGCAATGAATTAGTTGAAAAAAGAGGTAGTTATTGATTTTTCAAAAAAAAATTGTACGAGGCCAGGAACTATGGTTTTACATGAGTTAAATCAAAGTAAACAACGATATAGGGCCTGGGGCCGAGCAAAGGAAGGAACGAAAGGACGAGTGAATGGATGAATGGCTGCATTTGAAGGTAAGGTCAAGCAGATGGGCTTACTGGGTGACAGAGGGACGGATTTGCAATGGATGAAATCACACATGAAAAAATGCCGAAAGGTCGAGGAGGACAGAGAAGCATCGAAAGAGGCGAAATGAAGGGAAGATGTGAATACCTTTTAAATGCAAGTATTAATTACCTTGACTTCTCGCAAAAAATTACTCAGCTGCTGTACGATATCAGAAAAGGTTGGTCTCATCATAGGGTTTTCTTTCCAACAAGAGCTCATGAGCTCATATCTAAAATCAAAAAGAGCACTGATAAAAAAATTTGCAACGGATATTTTTAGCATCTTATCATGAAAAGGAGCGCAAAGGAATGAATTCGAGACGCTTGTAAAAAGATAATTAAAAATAACATTGATTTGTTAAATGTAGCATCGACCTTGACATGCAACGAATTTTCAAATCACTACAATCGACTAAATGCCTATCTTTGATTTTCAGTGTTGGTCGTTTCTCCGATGTTCAATTTAGAAAAGAAATGGGTGCTAGAGGATCTTGCAAGATTTGTTTCGAACGTTGAAAAAGTGTGTTATTATTTGTCAAACGTGGAATATGAATATTTTTGAACCTTCAACATAGCAGTATCAATATCAGTGCAGGCACTTTTCAATACTTTTGAGGCTTACAGTTCTTTCGAGCATTGATCGGGGCGAGGCATACGGTATCCATTTGTAAGTCGATTTATTAGAACAAATGGTGATGTCATGTCATGGTATGGCAACTCACCTGTTTGGAAGGAAGAGGATATGACTAAGAAAAAAATTGACTCTCTGACAAGAAGTATTTCAGTAGCTTTATAAACAAATTGAGATCCGGCTCAGTCAACAAGTAAAAATTAGGAACACTATGACACATACTATTTGCGAAAGAATGAGGAGATCTGAGAGTTTACTTTGTTTTGCTTTGCTTTGCTTTACTTTCCTTTCCCTTGCCTTACTTTGCTTACTTTACCTTTGCTTTGTTTTGCCTTATATTGCCTTGCTTTGCTTTTCTTTGCTTTGCCTTGCTTTGCCTTGCTTTGCCTTGCTTTGTCTTGCTTTGCCTTGCTTTGCTTTGCTTTGCCTTGCCTTGTCTTGCCTTGCCTTGCCTTACTTTGCTTTGCTTTGCTTTGCTTTTCTTTACCTTGCCTTGCTTTGCTTTGCTTTGCTTTGCTTTGCTATGCTTTGCTTTGCTTTGCTTTGCTTTGTTTTGTTTTGCCATGCCTTACCTTGTCTTGCTTTATTTTGTTTTGCTTTGCTTTTATAGAAACCACATGACGATTGCATTATTTGTGCTTCTTAGGGTGTACGTCGTTTTAAGTTGCGCATAATATCACACGACACTTACCATAAGTAGCGATTTCCCATAAGACAATACCAAATGACCACCTGTGAATATCATAAAGGCACTAGTTACTAGAATGAATGAGGAACGACTACAAATGAAACAATTCAGGGTCCATTTATGTCACAGTCTTTCGGCATTTAATGTATATTCCCATAGCCAAACAGTTCGCTAAGGCATTCCTGTTATGTGGTACACGCTCTTATTTTTGTTTTGTTTTTGTTTTTGTTTTTGTTTTGTTTTTTGTTTTTGTTTTTTTGCTATTTCTATTATTTTTTTGTATACGTTTGGTGTCATTTTTTCTATTATAAAACTTGGTGCTCTAGATGCTCGATCGGAAACAAGAAGTTTCCCAGGTCATTTTGAGTTCTCATGTTGTGTTCATATGAACCAATTAGCACCATCATATGCGGGCAGACAACCAAACAACGCAAAATGAAACCTTGGATAGAGCCATTTTTGAAAGTCAGACTTTCAGGTGACCATCAAAGTTGGATTAAAGAGGAAACATAAACAAGTTCATGAAGAATTATAGACTAGTTTTTCTCCAGTGTAAGAAAAATAGTTTCCTAACTAACTTCACCAAAAAGGAAAGAAAGTGACAGAGGGGCAGATTGATGAAAAAATTGGAAATCATTGGTGTCACCGATACTTTGAGTTTTACGTCAAGGGGGTTTGCCGACAGTAAAAAAGAAAAAACATGATAATAACGTACACATCACTCATTGATGTAAAATTTAGATCTCGCAAAGATTCTAAAGACGACCATCTCCATGGAACTTTGCCCTATAAGAAAGAAGTATTCATGTGAGACAGTTCTTGTTTGTAGTACCCGCGTTAGAGTCTGACTCAGAAAAATGTCCCAAACAAGCATTCAGGCCCCGGTTGTTCGAAAATTGAATAACGCTATGCACCGGATAAAACTTTATCCAACGGATAATGCTATAAATTTTTCTATCACTTATCCGTCGGATAGCGGTTTATCCGTCGGATAGCGGTTTATCCGTTGGATAGCATCATCAGTTCTTTACCCTACTGGGCTAAGTTGGATAAGCGAGTTCTTTCTCACTGTTTTGAGAGTGTTTTTATTTTTCTTCTATCACTATGTGTAATTTCTGGTAAAATTCAGGGAGACGGCTACGTGGTAATGATTAGTCCTGATGATGATTATTATGGTTATGATTACCATGGTATCACATAAGCCTTTTATCTATTACTATCATTATTATTATGATCATAATTATTATTTATCAACAAGAAAGATGCGAACTCATAACAAAATTAAGCAAACGCGTCATAGTATAACCACGTGGTTGAGAACTATGAAATAGCTTTGGAAAATGCTCCGCACCCCCCCTTCGCCCCCCCCCTCCCCCCTTGAGATCCTTTGGCTCTTTGGAGGGGTTTGATTTAAGAAAAGATAACACTAGAAGATATCAATCTATCGTACTCGCCTACGTTATGGTAGCGCAACGAGGTTAATGAATTGCAGTTTGTTTATTCTTTATTTGGTTTTTCTTATTGTTTTCAAAAGCGTACTTACGTTGGAGGCTATGGTGTATATTCCAACATCAGATATGTCCCTGGCTAATCCAAAGTCTCCAACCTTAGCCACCAAGTTGGCATCTACTAAAATATTCCTCGCTGCTAGATCGCGATGAACGAACTGTGAGAAAAGACAATTTAACGATCTGCTGCTCAGACGATGCTTTCGAGTAACTGACTGGTTAATACCAAAGTACAAAGGATGGCTAATCGAGTGCTTTAGTCTCTTTACAGGGTTAATATTTAAGGGCAAAATTCAAAGAATCCTGACGCTTCAAAGTAAGTTCAACACGTAATTTCTAAAGGATTTTCGAAGAATGCAATCTAGACTTTTTATTTCCAAGGTGTAAAGCTACAACTCCAGGGCCCAGTTGTTCCAAGACCGATTAGCGCTAACCCAGGGTTAAAATTTAATCCAGGTTTCTATATTTCTCTGTTCAAAAGCCGTTTTAAAATAATTTTCCCAATTCTTCTTAGAGCATTCAATCAACAAATTGTAAACAAATGGAATTAAAGTGAAATTAGTTTTAAAGCTTTCAGATCTTCAAATAAATTTCACGGTAACCCTGGGTTATCTTAACCCACCTTTGAACAACCCGGCCCATGTCTTTACAATTAGTAGGTTCAAATCCCATACCTTTGCCGCATTGAGAGCAAAACTGGTCTTCATTTCGTAAACACTGCCCGCAGGTGCTGCAAAACATCGTGCTCCATCGTGCCGTGAGCAATTTCTTTTCGCCGTGAGGAATTTCTTTTCGCCGTGAGAAATTTCTTTTCGCCGTGAGAAATTTCTTTTCGCCGTGAGAAATTTCTTTTCGCCGTGAGTAATTTCTTTTTGCCGTGAGCAATTTCTTTTTGCCGCGAGTAATTTCTTTTTGCCG